TGTCTCTTCTCACAGCCAGCCAGCAGATATTTTTACCAAAGCCCTGCCTTCATCACTTCTTCAGTCACATTTATCCAAGATGGGAATAGTAAACCTCAATTCTCCATCTTGCGGGGGGCTATTGCATGATAAAGTAGCTGCTGCATGTCGGTTTACTGCAGCTACATGTCGGTTGGATACAGGCTAACTTCTTGCTGTATTTTTTGTTTATTATTCTTTTATTCTTTGTTTTATCCTCTCTGTAAAATAGCTTGTCCCTTTCTGTAACTGTTTTCTGTTAGTTTGTTGTGTACAGTGCCTTTATATTGTTGCCTTTTGTAATCATTTAAGAGAACGAGAAATACACAGTTTTCTTCATCTTTTTCCAGACTTCTGTTATTCGGCTTTTTTCCTCTGTTTTACCATCTTACAGTTTATATCCTCTCTCTAGTTTGACTATTGGGCGCAATGGATTTTAAATGCCAGCTTGGTAACCTCCAAAACTAGTCATAGGATGGGAGCTGTCATTTATTATAAAAATATGTGGAAAGAATCAAGAACACAACGAAGGTATTACCACTCTCAAGTGATATTGTTACTACGTCAACAATATCACCGTCATACCTTAGATTTTCCCAAATGAGCCGCTTCTGTGCAAGAGATGGCGGGCAACTAAGGGGATAATAGAAAGCTGAGAGGAGGCAAGAGGCGGCAACAACGCTTGGAGCGGGTGCCTAAGATCTTGAACAAGTTAGGAAGGAAAGACAGCAAAAGGCAAACAGAATATCTTATAAAAAATGGAAAACGAAGAAAGTCCTAGAGGTAAGGGGTTGAGGTATTTTTGATTGTTTGTTGACTTGGCCTTCCATCAAATTTTGATCTCACTTGACCATGCTTCTTTAATCTTTACTTCTCTTTCAGCCAAACCTTGAAGCTTTCTGTTGATGCCAATCTTATTTTGTTACTAATTTTTTGTACCATGTAAGAGCAAATAGATTATAGAATGAGAAATTATGCATAATTATAAATATTTACATTCTTGAATTCGCANTTTTAGTCATAATTTAATTGGTCAGCCCTTGCAATGAATAGTACCTCGTTTTGACTAAATGGTGCTAAATTTTCTCTGCACTCTATAGATTAATTTGAAGATGTGAACTTTTCTTATATATACACCAGCCCCCTATCCGCTCCGCATAATTTAATGAATCAGCTCCTTTGAAGTGCATATCCTGTTATATCATTTCGCAGTCAATTATAAGTTAAATAACAAAGATTTGTTCAGAGAAATTAAGCCTTTGAACTCAATAAACGCTCCAGGTTACCCGAATTTAACAGTTCAGCATAAAGCATCTCTGTTGATGTGATTTTTCACACAACGAAAAATACGTAAATCTCGTGATGAAACCTATGCTAGGGTTTGTAGTAAACTGGTGTTTTAATGCTAGATTAATACTAAAATGATAAATAAACACATAGAATTTTTTTAAAGTGATTTAGATGCAAGGTGCAAATCTTACGTTCACTGTTATTTTATTACTTGTGTATTTTTTAAGTACAGGAGAACTCAAATCTTAATACAAATGAAACAGTTTTTACAGTAAGAATTAGTGTCAAAAGATCCCTTCATTAGGGTGAGAGACCTGTTTATATACTGTTACCTTGGTGGACTTATTGATGAAATAATCCTTATAGAGAGCGACACACAACTTGGAATGGACTTACACATGAATTAAGTAACCATCTCATAAGGTGACATGTGGTCTAATTGACAATTCAGTCCTGAGACTTACCACTGAAGCTATCTTTGGCAATCTTACAAGTGAAGTAACCCTCTCATGAAGCGAAATGCGGCCTGGTAACAATACAACCTTGAGACACATGGCGTGAATCCATGCAATGTGGATTTACCGCACAACAACCTCCTACAGTAAATATAATTCCAGAAGTTTGTCACATTTAGCCCTTCCCTAATTGGCTTCCAGAAGTTCCCTTACCAAGTAGCAAGACACAAAGCCAGGACAGTGCTGTTGAATTTTAACTATAGACTTTTATTAAACGATAATTGATGAAATAATAACATTGCCATCATATACTACAATAATATTACAAGTCCAGAATTATATCATCATAATCTATACAAATTGTTCCTCCAAAGGCATTGCATTACTTTAGCAGAACTATCTCTCATTTGAAGTAACCAAACCATTCATTGTAATTTCTGCTTCACTGATGCAACTGTCATCAACTAAGTAACCCTGAAAATAGAAGAGAGAAAATGACAAGAAATTATAGCATGATCTATAAATAACTGATCATTTCACTATTCAAATTGAAACTGTGTTAATTAGTTTATTAGTCTCACCTGCACATTCAATGTCATTTCCTTCTTTCTGATCTTTCACACGAAGAGTGAAAGTAACAAACATTTTACTACCCCGAGGAGTAAGATAGATATATAGAAATGTTGTTACCCTTAGCTTCTCCATCTCCTTTAGGAAAGAGCCGAACATTCCTGCAAAACATTAATCATCATTAGCAACTTTTAAACAACGAGAATCAAACATGCGAGAGCCAAACTCAATTATATACCATTTGTAGATTCCAAATGTTTTTGATCTGTAGCTTTCGTTAACCAGGATGGAAAAATTATCAACTTTCCGCATATGACAATCGGTGGCGGTCTTCATCTTAGATTACTACTCCACATAACATTAGAAGTACATTTGACAATGAAAACTTCCGCTCCAGAGACGCGAGTGTCATTGATAAGGTATGCATTTTAAGGATTCCGAAATGTACGTTTCCAGGTCCAAGAATTTGGAGATACCCCAATCTGTCTTCATTGCATGGAATCGCCTTAATCTCGCATCTGCATAATAATACTCTTAGCCTTCATCTTACTATCTTCGAACAAATTTGTTCACTATTAATTATATCTTGAAATCAAGCATGGAAGATATATATAACTCCTGAGATCGCTTCTCCAGTTGAGTTCTTAAACTCCATAAGTCCAATAACTGTAGCGAGAGTATGAGTGTTGATGCTGGATTTTGCCCTGCTTTTGTGAGTTTCTAACTTTCTTTTCTTTTCGATAAGATGACTTAAGTCTCCTTGTTTCGGTAGGTTTCTTCTTTTTGGTAGGGTCCATCTCAGGGAAGTAATCAATACCAAATAAGAAGTTGGGGATTATTTCCTAGAAAGATTATGATAAGAATGATTGCATCTACTCTTTCTAGGAAACAGTATCTTTTACCATAAATAAGGATTGGAACAAGGCAAGGTTAAGTGATATAATTCTAGGATTTTTTTATTTTTTTAAAGCGTATATGAAGCAGCAAGCCCAGTACAAAAAAGGGTAGTGGCATGCATCCATGATACTTAAAACTGTAACATTAAAGGAGATGCAGAATTATATCAGAAAACAATGCATGGGTTTAATTAACAGTAGTCATCGTAGCGATACATATAGCAAATGTTCCTGAAAGCTTGCAACATGTTTAACAAAAGTATTAAGACTGTTTTATGAGACCAAGTAATGTAACTTCTGCTTCAATGATGAGAGTGTCAAACATCAAGTAGCCCTGTTTCGTATCCTTCAACTTAGCCAACGACAATGTTGGAAAACCCCAGTCAGGAACAGAGGGAGATAACAAGAGTTCAGCTGGAAGTAATTAAAAATCAAGAAGGCAATCAGAACATATAGAAAATTAAACTAGTTAAAGGCTTAAAGCACTAATAAATGTCAACTTCAATTTTCCTGTAATGAGACTGGCTTGTTTTCATGTAGGGAGAGTCTCATCCCTTGAAATTCAGTGAGCATATATAACTCTTACTTTGATGTGACAAGTCCTCTCCACGTGTATTTTTGACACGAAGAATGAGTTTCACGAACAGTTTGGTATTTAAAGGAACACTTGACTGAGCGTAAGATAGATAAATTGAAACGTTGCTGCCCCTGGCTTCTCCATTTCCTTTAGGATAGAGAATAATATTCCTACAAAACGTTAATCAGAGCAAATTAACATCCATCAAAGGATCAAAAAGATCAAGAAAAGACAAAAGTTTGACCAAATTTCACACGCTAAAGCCTACAGGACATCACAAAATTTTGTTTTACAACAGTTTTCACATGTCAGGAAATCAGGGAGTTTGCTTAAAAAAATGACTATATATACCAGTTGTAGTCTCCAAATGGTTCAGAATTGTAGCGTTGATCAAGTAATGACGAAAAATTACAAAGTCTCCAAGAATAGTAGTGACAACTAGCAGGTTGCTTCGTCATTGATAAGCACTCCCCTTTAAAAGTGCTTTTGGCAACAAAAACCTCCGCACCAAACACACAAGTGTCATCAATAAGATATCCATTTAGAGGATTATGAAACGTTTTCAGGTCTATGAATTTGGTGATGNTACAAAATTAATAGATAAATATTTTAATTATATATAAAATAAAATTATAACAATTTTTCTAAAAAAATTGATGAGAAAAATGATTTCAATAATGTACTTTTATTAGAAAGTCATCTAATGACAAAATTTTTAATTTTTCACAGATTTTTTTTCAATTTAATTGGATTTATATTAATCATAAAAGAGGTGTGGAAATAATTTTGGGGTGCTTTTTTGTTGGGCCTAAATGGGCCGGGCTTCGAAAATACACCAGGCCCAAAACGGAAAGGCCCTATAAAAGAACACCCATTGAGTTTCTTCTTCTTGGGGTTTTTCAACACCCCTGAGGTTTAATCCGTATTCCCTCTGTTAGCATATAGTTATATATACAATATTTTTTATATTATGTAATATGATGTGGTAAAAGATTATTAGGTGAAGCTTTTACTATATTATGTTGTATAAAAATGTTATACGTATAATATTATGAATTATAAATTTATAGCACAATGAGTTCAATATATATTATTTATCATATCATCTTTTTACGTTATTTTAACACCGAAAACTTAATATTTGTTATTAATATAACAATACGAGGATTTTGTTATTTAATCGTACCTCGGGAGAATCATTGTAAACCCCTTCTTCTTCTCCAATGTTAAAACGAAACAAACAGAGACTCTGAAATACACAAAACATTTTAAGGCATAACAGAGAGACGACTGAGCGAACGAGAGTTACAGAAGAACCGACAGGTCGGTTGAATGTGGCATCGATTTGAAGCTGGAAATCAGCGGAAAGGTAAGATTTTTCTTCCATTATCGTTTTGTTTCGTCAAAATTTAAGCTTTTGAAGGAATTTTAGATACAGTTGTTGAGCTGCAAACACCCACAGTTGAGTTTTGAGTTGTTGAAAATTGTATGACATTAGCGAGTTTTGTTAATAATAGGTAAAGAAAGAAGCTGATAAAATGTAATCGTGGTAAAACGACGCGTCGTTTCCCACTGTGGGGTCGAGCAAAAGGATAGGGCAGAGTGTAGGGAAATATGAGGTTTCTTTGTGGAGCAGTAAAACATGTTAGACCATCCTGGACTGCACTAGGCGACCACTGTGCTCGAGCGGTCGAGGAAAAATGTGGAACTTGGGGGATTAGGATGGTTTTGTGGTTGTATTGCTAGACCATGCTAGACTATGCTCGAGGGCCAATTTGCTCGACTGGTCGAGGAAAAGGGCAGAATTTAGGGAATTAGAATCATTGTGCTGTTGTGTTTCTAGATAACGTTAGACTAGGCTCAGTGACCATTGTGCTCGATTGGCTGCGGAAAATGGTAGGATTTAGGAAATTAGATTGTTTTCATGTTTATGAGATTTATGTTTTTGAGTGTGTTTATGAAATTTGTTGAGTTTTTTATATGCTTGTTGGTTGTAGGATTATGGAAGAGGTGAGAATGTTGGTTAGGTTTGGTGGAACATGGGACACTTCGGCTGATGGGCGGTATGCTTATAATGGTGGTAGATTGAGAGGAATGAAAGTTGCGAAAGGGATTGCATACAAAGTTTTTGTGGAATTATTGTATCGGACCATCGAAGTGGATGCAAATGAATACGTTTTGAAAATGGAAGTATTATGGCATTCGAGTTCCATGCCTCTTCCCCCAATGGAGATATGTAATGATTCTGATCTTTGCTTTTTCTTAGATGGAGGTTCTGGGTCAGCTAATGACTTTATTCCATTGTGTGTCACACTGGTTCATAAGGATTCTACGCTGACTGTAGCAAGGTTTCCAGTACATTACATATCGAATTGTCACACTCATTCTGTTTCTGGTAGTGAAAGTAATCAAATAGGTTCAACCAAGCCTAGCCCAAACGAACCAGAATTAGAAACAAACCCACCATATGTACCAGTAGTGACATTTAAGGAACAGTTGTCCATGTCTCAACCACAAATGTCACCATCACCATTGTCTCAGCAACCAACCTTAGTCAACGATGACACGCAAGGTGATACGCATCATGTTGATGGAACTCTGAATACTGCAGGTGCTTATGCTGTGTGGAATGAAGAGGGTGTTTTGGAAGGGGTTGAGAGGCGGAACCAGGTGAAGGATGATGCTCCTGCGAACAATGTGAAGGATTCACGTAAAAATGTTCGTGCGAGGCCTTCAAGGAAGTTTTCTTATTTGCCATATCTGCCAGAGTGTGATGCTACCAAATTAACTGATTCTGATGATGATGCATTTGTAGTTGGGCAGACATTCGCATCCAAAAAAGAGCTGCGAAAGAGTTTAAACCTTGATGCGATCAAGAAGCATTATCAATTCAAAATCTCTAGATCAACCACAAAACGGTTTGAAGCAATTTGTATAAACAAAGATTGTAAGTGGCGTGTCTGCGCAATAAAGTCTCAAGAGAATGATAATTTCAAATTAAGGAGGTTGCATTTATACCATTCATGTGCAACTGACCAAGTATCCGGAGGCCATCGTCAAGCAACCAGCCGGCTTGTTGGTTATCACGTCAAGGAACAGCTACTAGACAAACAATGTGAGTATAAACCAAGAGAAATCATGGAGGACATGCGAAATCGTTATGGGATTGAACTATCTTATAACAAATGTTGGAGGGCTAGGGACTGTGCTATCAAAGAAATCAAAGGATCACTAGAAAATTCTGATGAATTGTTTGCGTCAGCTGAGAAAGTAGTAAGAAAGCGTGCTCCCAGTGGCATTGTACGGAAAAAGCGTGATCCAAGTAGTATTGTACCAAAAAAGTGTGGTCAATGTGGTGCGTATGGACACAATCGTCAAACATGTAGGAATCCAACTCCTCTTCAACCCTCATCTGAAGGTAAAACTTAGACATGAAGAACAAATCTGCATCGAAATCTAACTTATTCCAGTGTTATGTAGGTAACGAATATCTGATTTATCATGGCATTATATGCAAGTTATTGCATTTTATGTTAATTTATCAGATGGAGGTTTATTAGACAATGTTGTATCATATGCTGGTATCTACTATTTAACAAAAACATATTAATATATGTGAGCTTTCACATTACCGTGATAAATCTAATTTTTAGAGGCTCTAATACTATGAATTATTCAAACACATTACTTAGTTTGGTTGTGATTTATCTAATAATTTATCACCATATTATGTTGAGAAAAAGGTAATTCTGGTTCAGCAGGACCCTTTTTTTTTATATTATCTCCGTGAAATTTGAGGTGCTTTTGCCATCAGTTTTCAGTTTCGCTAAGCTTTCTTTACTAGGATCATGATGACCATTTTCCTATCAATTTTGTTCACATGCATGCTCGTCTTGTCAATGGCTCGAAAGTAATAAGTTTTATCGATTTCCTTTCTATTTAATTTATCTTACGATCTTACTTGGCAGCTTACACAATTTTCAGTTTATTTGTAAGTCGTAGTTCTTGTGCATGTGTTTGTAAAAGTATATATTGGTTGCTTGTATGTTTTTCATGAAGGTAATAGTATTGCAGGTAAGCTCGTCAGGCTTTTTGCATTCTTCTACTCTTCATTGTGTAGTGTTTCGTCCTGAAATGTTGCATGTTCCTTGAGGCTCTCATTGCTTTTGTAGTAGTTTCTGCATTATCAAAGGGAAGAATCATTATATCTCCTTCACCTAAATGTAGTACTTTCTTTTTCATTTATGAGAATTTTGAGGATAAATTTTATCAGAAATGAACTAGTGGAGGCCCTAGGTTGTCACCATTTTCAGCATCCTTGATGCTAGAGTTTTGTTATCCTTTCTATAATTTTATTGATAAGAAATGAAAATGAAAAGTAGTTTATATTTATTAAATTATGCAAGTTTATCCTAAAGAAATATTAAATGACCCCTATTGGTTTACAAAATATAAACTGACCCTTAGTATTATCTAGGCAATATGATACATTAAGGTTTTTTGTGCGTTTATATTCTCACAAACATAACAAATATTGATTTTTTAAGTGTTTGGACTATAAGTCTATTAAAAAAAGTGTACCGAACGTGGGTAAGAGTGTTTTATTAATTTATAAACTTTTATTGTGAAGGGTAATGTTTTAAATGTTTTAAATTGATAAAAATATGATGATTTTGAATTGAATTGTAGATATTAAAACAACACATTTTTCACTAGATTGGACAAGATAGTAGAACATAATAAAGCATAAAAAGTGTACCAAATGCAGCCCAAATATTTTTATTAATTTTTATGCATATAAAATCTTGAATTTTTAAGTGTTGGAGTCCATGTATTTTTCGTTATAAGTTTTATTCTTCAAGCATACTGACTGTTTATAGGCTTAAAAGACTAATTTTAATATATTGTGAAAAAAAAAATCACTTCTTTGACCTTTCAAGGTGTAATGAGGCAAAAAGTGACCACGATGATAATACTGGAGGGCGTTGGGTTGGTGGGTTATGTGGATTACTAGGGTTAAGTCATCTATATTACTTGATTACTATGTTTGATTTGTCAAGTAATATAAGATTCTTTAATCTTTAAAACCAATAGTGATTATTGTTAGTAAATTAGAGGTAATCTGATTACCTTCATTTTCTTAGATTATATAAATATTTTGGGTAATTTTTTTTTTTTTTTTTACAATTCTACCCTTAATAAATTTTTAGAGACAACAATGCCCTTATTTTAATTTATTATAATGAATCTTGATTTTACCATTTCACCCCATTAATTAATTTTTGGACAAATTACCTTGAAATCAAAACAAATTCAGCTTACCCAAGCACCACACCCCACCCATTGTGCCGCTTGTCGCCAGCCAAACCACCGTCGCCATCCGGAGCGGCGAGGTCTCGGAAGTACATGGAGTCGCCGTGAGCAGCCCACGGTGACCGGGAGGCCCGATATGCCGTTTCTAGCCATGTTGATGGCGAAAAGGCATATTGGAGTAGATCTGGCCGTTACAAGGACCAACCCTTGCTTTATAACAGATCTGGCCGATTATGGCCAAGGATTTGGCCGTTAATGGCGAGAGAAAATTTGGCCATTTCAGGCCTGATATGGCCGTTTTCAGCCATCAATATGACAGAAACGACCTATCGCGAGCCTCGTGGTCACGGTGAGCTACTCACGACGACTTTTAGAGACTTTCGGCGATGCTTTGCGGTGGACGGCAGGCGCGGCTAGGGTGGGGGTGATTTTCATAATAAAAGTTTTTATAAGCGGGTGTTTTAGCAAAATGCAAATATTGGGGGTAAAAAATAATAATATATTTAATATTTAAAAAGAGGGCAATTTAGTAATTTAAATAACATACCCACCAATTTATTCCTCTTAACCAACATATTAATATAACATACTCACCAACACCAAACACATTTTCCAAAGATTCTCAGTAATCTTCAAGGTAATATAAGATTCTAGTAATCCAACATTCCCTGAACAACGGCCCCCTTAGGACAAAGCTATTTACCAATCCTACAAAAAATTTTAAAATTTAATATTAAAAAGATATAATTTCATCCATAATTTTTCTGTACTTTGGTCCCTATACAGAACCTACACTTTGACCCCGTCAATAAAACTTTTTAAATTCACTTTTTTAACGTAACCCTCTTTCGTTAACATTACACTTTGATGTCAAAATCATTTTCTTAGCTTAATACTAGAATGAATCATGTACACACACACACACCACACACATATATTATAGTAATTGGCATCAGTATTTCGAACAAATATCTAAAATATCTTATTATTATAAAACTACACTATATGCAACACAAAATTAATAGATAAATATTTTAATTATATATAAAATAAAATTATAACATTTTTTAAAAAAATTGATGAGAAAAATGTTCAATAATGTACTTTTATTAGAAAGTCATCTAATGACAAAATTTTAATTTTTCACAGATTTTTTTTTCAATTTAATTTGATTTATATTAATCATAAAAGGTGTGGAAATAATTTTGGGGTGCTTTTTTATTGGGCCTAAATGGGCCGGGCTTGAAAATACACCAGGCCCAAAACGGAAATACCCTATAAAAGAACACCCATTGAATTTCTTCTTCTGGGGTTTTTCAACACCCCTAGGTTATCCGTATTCCCTCTGTCAGCATATAGTATATTATATACAATATTTTTTATATTATGTAATATGACGTTGGTAAAAGGTTATTAGGTGTATTGAATCTTCACCGATAATCTTTACTATATTAGTTGTATAAAAATTTTTATGTATAATATTAGAATCATAAATTTATACACAATGAGTTCAATATATATTTTATCATATCATCTTTTTACGTTATTTTAACACCGAAAAAATAGGCTTCGTTTGGTTGGGATTTTGGGAATACTACTACTTTTAGAATTCCCAAAAAAGTTAAACAGTAAAATACCTAAAAACTCACAATTATTCAACTTTATTCAACATTTTTTACACTCTAAATTTGTTTATTCAATTAAATACCCTAAATATTTTTAATGTTTTTGTTACGGCAACTCCGGCCACCCTCCGACGGTGTGGCGGCTGTCCGTATTTGAGGGTGGTTGGGGGTGTTTTGTAACTTTTAATATTTATTATAAGGGGTGTTTTATAAAAAAAAACAAAACATAGGGGGGTACTTTATAATTTGTAAATCTACATCGTAAATACCGTCAAATTCAACTTTTTTTAACTTTTTTCAAAAAACTTTTCCTAAAAACACAAAATTTGTGAACCAAACGGAGCCTTAAATATTGTTATATTATATAACCATACAGAGGTTTGTGTATTTAATCGTACCCTGGGAGAATCATTGTAAACCCCTTCTTCTTCTCCAATGTTAAACGAAAAAAACAGAGACTGAAAACACAAAACTTTAAGGACTAACAGAGAGCGACGAGCGAACGAGAGTTACAGAAGAACCGACAGGTCGGTTGAATGTGGCATCGATTTGAAGCTGGAATCAGCGGAAAGGTAAGATTTTTCTTCCATTATCGTTTTGTTTCGTCAAAATTTAAGCTTTTGAAGGAATTTAGATACAGTTGTTGAGCTGCAAACACCCACAGTTGAGTTTTGAGGTGTTGAAAATTGTATGACATTAGCGAGTTGTGTAATAATAGGTAAAGAAAGAAGCTGATAAAATGTAATCGTGGTAAAACGACGCGTCGTTCCCACTGTGGGGGCGAGCAAAAGGATAGGGCAGAGTGTAGGGAAAATGAGGTTTCTTTGTGGAGCAGTAAAACATGTTAGACCATCTGGCTGCACTAGGCGACCACTGTGCTCGGCGGTCGAGGAAAAAAGTGGAACTTGGGGGATTAGGATGGTTTGTGGTTGTTGTTAGACCACGCTAGACTAGCTCAAGGGCCAATTTGCTCGACTGGTCGAGGAAAAGGGCCAGAATTTAGGGAATTAAATCATTGTGCTGTTGTGTTTCTAGATAACGTTAGACTAGGTCAGTGACCATTGTGCTCGATTGGCTGCGGAAAATGGTGGATTTAGGAAATTAGTATTAGAACTTGTAAAAATAAGATTTAACACAGTAATGCGAAAGCTCACATATATTAATACGGTCTTGTTAAATTGTAGATACAATTCCATGCTAATGCAATAACATAACACTGGAATAAATTGTCCATACACGCCACATTGACCAACAATGCCACTGGGATCATGCTTTCTTCTTATTGCTTGGTCATCAGAAAAAGAAATCATCATCCGATGGGTTTTGGTTTTGCTCTCCTCAGAGAAATGGCATACTCTGTGATACACAACGGAATAAAGCCAGTAGCCGGCCCACCAGCATTATCTAAGAAAAAGCAAAGAGTAGGATAATCACATATCCTCATGGGGGGAGCAGACATGTTAATACAAGGCAATAAGACTTCGATTGCCAAAGAACATTTATTTGCATCCACGTTAATGGTCCTGTGCAAGTCTTCCATAAAACGTTCGTATGCGATCCCCTTCTCAACTCTCATTCCAGTCGTGCGACCACCAACATAAGCATAACGCCCATCAGCTGAAGTTGTCCATGTTCCATCAAACCTAATCACAACGCTCACCTTTTCCATGCTCCTACAACCAACAACCACAAAAAAAACTCAACAACTTTCATGAACACACACAAAAATGAATCAAAACAGAAAATAAAACTAAAATGACTGCATCACATTTACAGAAATCCAAAATTTTCAATTCAATTAACAAAGCAACACTCTCCAAACTCCTTGGTACAAATTACAGATCAAAACTCAAATTTTATTTTATTGTTTCATTTTCCTGCATTTTCTTGGCAACCAAACAAAAAGTAAGAACTAAAACCACCGAACCAGATCTTTAAAATCCGAAAATTACGATTCAATCACAAAATCAACACTCTCCAAAAAATTACGTTATCAAAACTCACAAACTTTCTTTAACTTCCTTTAATTTTCTCAGAAACCAAAACATTCAAATAAATAATAAAAAAAGCGAAGATCGAAACCTGAAGAGGAAGGAGAAGCTAAGGAGGAGTAGGGAAGGACGATGAGGAGAAGGATAAGAATCGAGCGACGGAAGTCGGAGCTGGAGGTGAGAGGTGGCTGTGGAGGTTTATATCCTCTCTCTAGTTTGACTATTGGGCGCAATGGATTTTAAATGCCAGCTTGGTAACCTCCAAAACTAGTCATAGGATGGGAGCTGTCATTTATTATAAAAATATGAGGAAAGAATCAAGAACACAACGAAGGTATTACCACTCTCAAGTGATATTTTTACTACGTCAACAATATCACCGTCATACCTTAGATTTTCCCAAATGAGCCGCTTCTGTGCAAGAGATGGCCGGCAACTAAGGGGATAATAGAAAGCTGAGAGGAGGCAAGAGGCGGCAACAACGCTTGGAGCGGGTGCCTAAGATCTTGAACAAGTTAGGAAGAAAAGACAGCAAAAGGCAAACAGAATATCTTATAAAAAATGGAAAACGAAGAAAGTCCTAGAGGTAAGGGGTTGAGGTATTTTTGATTGTTTGTTGACTTGGCCTTCCATCAAATTTTGATCTCACTTGACCATGCTTCTTTAATCTTTACTTCTCTTTCAGCCAAACCTTGAAGCTTTCTGTTGATGCCAATCTTATTTTGTTACTAATTTTTTGTACCATGTAAGAGCAAATAGATTATAGAATGAGAAATTATGCATAATTATAAATATTTACATTCTTGAATTCGCAAACTCTACTCGAAATAACCATGTAACTACTGTGATAGCTTCGTATATAAATCAATGAATTATGTTGATTTTTTTTTCTCAAACTCTCTCTACAACACAAACCTCTCAACATTATGGTCACTTCTTTCCCAAACTTTGCTAACATATTATGGGTAAAGAACAATTTCCCCCTTGCTTGTAAGAAAAGTTACGGTTGCTTCTAACTCATAAAAAGAAAAAAAAAAAAAAATAAATAACGAGGAAAGGGTAAGATTAAAAAAATTTCCGTATATTGAAATTTTTTTCCCTTTACTAGTAATTGAAAAACTTTACTCATGATTTTTAAGAATCGTAAATGACCCCCTATTGGTTTCAAAATATAACTGACCCTTAGTTATTATCTAGGCAATATGATACATTAGGGGTTATTTTGTGCGTTATATTTCTCAAAACATACAAAATATTGATTTTTTAAGTGTTTGGACTATAGTCATTAAAAAAAGTGTACCGACACAGTGGTAAGTGTTTTTATTAATTTATAACTTTTAGTGTGAAGGGTAATTGTTAAATGTTTTAATTGATAAAATATGATTAGATTTTGAATTGAATTGTAGATATTAAAACAAACACATTTTTCACTAGATTGGACAAGATAGTAGAACATAATAAAGCATAAAAGTGTACCAAATGCAGCCCAAATATTTCTTTTTATTAATTTTATTATGCATATAAAATCTTGAATTTTAAGTGTTTGGAGTCCATGTATTTTTCGTTATAAAGTTTTATTCTTCAAGCATACTGACTGTTTATAGGCTTAAAAGACTAAATTTTAATATATTGTGAAAAAAAAAAATCACTTCTTTGACCTTTCAAGGTGTAATGAGCCAAAAATGACCACGATGATAATACTGGAGGGCGTTTGGTTGGGGGTTATGTGGGATTACTAGGGTTAAGTCATCTTATATTACTGATTACTATGTTTGATTTGTCAAGTATATGATTCTTGTAATCTTTAATACCATAGTGATTATTGTTAGTAATATTAGAGGTACATGGATTACCTTATTTTCTTAGATATTATAAATATTATTTGGGTAATTTTTTTTTTTTTTTTTACAATTCTATCCCTTAAATAAATTTTTAGGACAACATGCCTTATTTTTAAATTTATTTACATGAATCTTGATTTTACCATTTCACCCCATTTAATTATTTTTTGGACAAAATTACCTTGAAATCAAAACAATTTCAGCTTACCCAAGCCACACCCCCCCACCTTTGCTGCCTGTCTTCCCAGCCAACCACCGTCAGCCATCGCGGAGGTCGTCGGAAGTCACATGAGTCGCCGTGAGCAGCCCACGTGACCGGGAGGCCTCGATATGGCCGTTTCTAGCCATGTTGATGGTCAAAAGGCCATATGGGAGTAGATCTGGCCGTTACGCCATACCCTTGACCTTTATCAACCAGATCTGGCCGATTATGGCCAAGGATTTGGCCGTTAATGGCGAGAATAATTTGGCCATTTCAGGCCTGATATGGCCGTTTCAGCCATCAATATGATCAAACGACCATATCGGAGCCTCGTGGTCACGGTGAGCTATCTCACGACGACTTTTAAGACTTTCGCGATGCTTTGCGGTGGCGGCAGCGCGGCAGTAGGGTGGGGTGTGATTTTATCATAAATAAAAGTTTTATATAAGCGGGGTGTTTTTGGCAAAATCTGAAATATTGGGGGTTAAAAATTATAATATATTAATATTTAAAAAGAGGGCAATTTATATTTAAATAACCTCCCACCAATTTTTCCCCTTAACCCCATATTAATATAACATACTCACCAACTAACCAAACACATTTTCCTAAAGATTCTCAGTAATCTTCAAGGTAATATAAGATCTATGTAATCCAACATTCCCTGAACTAAACGGCCCCCTTAGACAAAGCTATTTACCAATCCTACAAAAATTTTAAAATTTAATATTAAAAAGTATAATTCATCCATAAATTTTCATTTTTCTATTGGTCCCTATCATTGAACCTACCTTTGACCCCGTCAAATAAACTTTTTAAATTCACTTTTTAACGTAACCCCTCTTCTCGTTAACATTACACTTTGATTGTCAAATCATTTTCTTAGCTTAATACAGAATGAATCAGTGTACACACACACACACAACACACACACCACATATATATAGTAATTGGCATCAGTATTTCGACAAATACTAAAATATCTTTAGTATTATAAAACTAACATATATATGCAACACAAATTAATAGATAAATATTTTAATTATATAAAATAAATTTACATATTTTTTATAAAAATTGATGAGAAAAATGATTTCAATAATGTACTTTTATTAGAAAGTCATCTAATGACAAATTTTTATTTTTCACAGATTTTTTTTCAATTTAATTTATTTATATTAATCATAAAAGAGGTGTGGAAATAATTTTGGGGTGCTTTTTTATTGGGCCTAAATGGGCCGGGCTTTGAAAATACACCAGCCCAAAACGGAAATACCCTATAAGAAACACCCATGAATTCTTCTTCTTGGGGTTTTTCAACACCCCTTAGGTTTAATCCGTATTCCCTCTGTCACATATAGTAATATATTATACAATATTTTTTATATTCTGTAATATGACGTGGGTAAAAGGTTATTAGGTGTATTGAAATCTTTCACCGATAATCTTTTACTATATTATGTTGTATAAAAATTTTATATGTATAATATAGGAACAAATTTATAACACAATGAGTTCAATATTATTATTTATCATATCATCTTGTTTACGTTATTTTAACACCCGAAAACTTAGGCTTCGTTTGGTTTGGTTTTGGGAATACTATACTACTTTTAGAATTCCCAAAAAGTTAAACAGTAAAATACCTAAAAACTCACAATATTTTCAACTTTATTCAACATTTTTTAACCTCTAAATTTGTAATTCAATTAAATACCCCTAAATATTTTAATGTTTTGTTACGGCAACTCCGGCCACCCTCCGACGGTGGTGGCCGGCTGTCCTTATTTGAGGGTGGATTGGGGGTGTTTTTGTTAAACTTTTAATATTTTATTATAAGGGGTGTTTTATAAAAAAACAAACATAGGGGGTACTTTATAATTTGTAAATCCTACATCGTATACCCGTCAAATTCAACTTTTTTTTAACTTTTTTTCAAAAAACTTTTCCTAAAACACAAATTGTGAACCAAAACGAGCCTTATATTTGTTATTAATATAACCATACGAGATTTTGTTATTTAATCGTACCTCGGGAGAATCATGGTAAACCCCTTCTTCTTCTCCAATGTTAACACGAAACAAACAGAGACTTGAAATACACAAAACATTTAAGGCATAACAGAGAGACGACTGAGCGAACGAGAGTTACAGAAGAACCACAGTTCGGTTTGAATGTGGCATCGATTTGAAGCTGGAAATCCCGAAAGGTAAGTTTTTCTTCCATTATCGTTTGTTTCGTCAAAATTTAAGCTTTTGAAGGATTTAGATACAGTTGTTGAGCTGCAAACACCACAGTTGAGTTTTGAGTTGTTGAAAATTGTATGCATTAGCGAGTTTTGTTAATAAAGGTAAAGAAGAAGCTGATAAATGTAATCGTGGTAAAACGACCGCGTCGTTTCCCACTGTGGGTCGAGCAAAGGATGGGCAGAGTGTAGGGAAATATGAGGTTTCTTGTGGAGCAGTAAAAACTGTTAGACCATGCTGGACTGCACTAGCGACCACTGTGCTCGAGCGGTCGAGGAAAAATGTGGAACTTGGGGGATTAGTGATGGTTTGTGTTGTTTATGTTAGACCACGCTAGACTAGCTCAAGGGCCAATTTGCTCGACTGTCAGGAAAGGGCAGAATTAGGGATTAGAATCTTGTGCTGTTGTGTTTCTAGATAACGTTAGACTGCTCAGTGACCATTGTGCTCGATTGGCTGCGGAAAATGGTTGGATTTAGGAAATTAGATTGTTTTCATGTTATTGAGATGATTTTTTGAGTGTGTTTATGAAATTTGTTGAGTTTTTTATATGCTTTGGTTGTAGTTATAAGAGGTGAGAATGTTGGTTAGGTTTGGTGGAACAGGGACACTTCGGCTGATGGGCGGTATTCTTATATGGTGGTAGATTGAGAGGAATGAAATTTGCGAAAGGGATTGCATACAAAGTTTTTGTGGAATTATTGATCGACCATCGAAGTGGATGCAAATGAATACGTTTTGAAAATGGAAGTATTATGGCATTCGAGTTCCATGCCTCTTCCCCCAATGGATATATGTATGATTCTGATCTTTGCTTTTTCTTAGATGGAGGTTGTGGGTCAGCTAATACTTTATTCCATTGTGTGTCACACTGGTTCATAAGGATTCTACGCTGACTGTAGCAAGGTTTCCAGTACATCACATATCAATTGTCACACTCATCTGTTTCTGGAGTGAAAGTAATCAATAGGTTCAACCAAGCCTAGCCCAACGAACCAAATTAGAACAAACCCACCATATGTACCAGTAGTGACATTTAAGAACAGTGTGCCATGTCTCAACCACAAATGTCACCATAACCATTGTCTCAGCAACCAACCTTAGTCAACGTGACACGCAAGGGGATACGCATCGTTGATGGAACTCGATACTGCAGGTGCTTATGCTGTGTGAATGAAGAGGTGTTTTGGAAGGTTTGAGAGGCGAACCAGGTGAAGGATGATGCTCCTGTGAACATGAAGGATTCACGTAAAAATGTTCGTGCGAGGCCTTCAAGGAAGTTTTCTTATTTGCCATATCTGCCAGAGTGTGACGCTACCAATTAACTGATTCTGATGATGATGCATTTGTAGTTGGCAGACATTTGCATCAAAGAGGCTGCGAAAGAGTTTAAACTTGATGCATCAAGAAGCATTATCAATTCAAATCTCTAGATCAACCACAAACCGGTTTTGAAGCAATTTGTATAAACAAAGATTGTATGTGGCGTGTCTGCGCAATAAAGTCTCAAGAATGATAATTTCAAATTAAG